GGGTGTCGTAAACAGTGACGTTTGTGCATCTCCTCAATTGCTTTGCAACGTTAAACCACTGAACTTCTCCATTTTCTGTTCGACTCCACTTTCAACTTTCCTTTCTTCTCCTATTCTTCATCCAAATGGGCAGCCAGAAGACAGCAACCAAAACCGGTGCACGAATATGCGTGGTTAATGGTTGTACAAACAGAAGTGAACTGAAGTGTTACTGTATTCCAGATTTTGGCGTCGTCTGCAAACAGCATTGTTTCAGGACCTAACAACTTCGGAGCAGAATCGCTGTTATCTGAACCCATGTTGATCTATCTGTCTAAAGGATAGTGTAGCTTTCTAATTGTTTCATTAGAGAATCTGCCACTGTTGACTGCATGACTTTCGATAACACTGGAAACATGGTTACAGGTTGGTGGTTAGCGGGGGCACTACGACTGGCACTTTTGTGTAACTCCTTGTTCCCACGATTGTGGTAGTGTTGCTTGGTCGAACATTCTTTGGATCGGAATGGCTAGTATTTCGGATATGCTATTCGCCAAAAGGATAAGGGATTTCGGGCGTACATTTCCACACCTGGGGTGGAATTTTTTCGCAAAGCCATTAGTTTGGCTTTGACGTTCTCAGCAGTAAATGTTACGTTGGTCAGCGAAGGAATGGAATATGATGCAACCGTGGAGGTGGCTGAAGAGGTCTACAGCCATCTGTGGTGCAGCAATAATGTTGCAGTACTGGGTTTGCAGCATTTTAGCTGCTTCTGTTGGAGTGGCTGCAACTCTCCCAGCGCAGCTTAGTGCCGGTATACCAAACTTTACTTTACGAATTGAGTTAACGTGCTTATACAACAACTTAGGGTTAGAGATGAATCTCTGTTCTAGCGCCTCTTGATACTTCAGTTTCTCCTCACGAATCAGCCTGGTGCAGTCGTTCCTCAGCATGCGATAATTATTCCGCGTGACAACATCCGGAAGATGTTTATGATCTCGCCGGGATAGATTCCTCAGGAATAGTCATTTCCTCCTGCAGCTTCGATTAGGTGAATTTCGAATGCTAGATTTGCGGGTTATTCTGGTCAATGATGTCAGTAGGTTTGCGAGACTGTCAATAAATTTCTTCCAGGAGGCCAACGGATTGGGTTCTTCGTCATAGGAAACCCAATGAGTAGAGAGCGCCAATTTTTGCAACCATGTATAACCTATCGATCTGTGTTATCAAAAGAACTTCCTTGAACAGAAGCATAACAAATACATCTGAATGTAAATACTGCGTCCGGGGGCGAAGTCACATCGACAGTTTCTAATATCACCCTCTCGTTGATCAACACGATGGTGGTGAGTGTAGGTTTCCAAATCAGGTTAGCGAACCCAACGCAAGTGTTTCGCTTAGAAATTATCGGCCGGAGTCCTCAGTAAATCCAACTCTGTTCCACTGCCTTGTGGGAACGGGTAAAATCTGCAGTTCATTGTCGCCAGTTCCAGTCAGATGTTCCACATCATGACTACATGATACACACATACAAGGTTTCCAATATGCCCTTGGCCTAATCAAATCAGTGCTCTTCGCGACGAGGATGTCCTAGCGTCAGTTTGCACACCTTCGAAAGCTTGGAATCCGAGGTGTCCAGCTCTCCTAAGATATCTGACCTTAGCTCGTGGAGTCCATTGCAGATATTAAATTTTAACCGTTATGCTGTTCGTCACACATTCGCAATAACGATGTGGGATGAATTTTGCACCTTATCTCTTGGAGCACGGTACACAGTCGCTTTTTTTAATAATCTGAGGATATGTCGTTTTGTTTACTTTCCGACGGCTAATTCTGCCAAGTAGGTAAATGCTTCTTCGCTTGCACTGGGGCTCGCAAAGCCGCCCCAAGATGAAGCAACGCCCCCACTAGTTTATTCATTTTCCGCTCCTTTAACTGGCTTGTAAAGTATGTTTGTCTGGTGTGACTTTGATTAGAAACAAGTCGGACCATTTTTTGCTTCTTCCGCGCAATAATTTGTATCCTCGTTCTGACTGGTTCTCCTAAATCCGATTTGTATCATATGATCTTCTGCAGTTGGTCTTAAGCTTTTTCAATTCAATTCTACCCTCATCCGCCTCTTCTCGCTTTCTATTTGAAATTAAACAGCCAGTTCTTTCGGAGACGTGGTTTTTCGGGACTCGCTCGCCTCCAAGAAAGTCGCACGTTCTTTCCCTACACCACCTGTACGTATGGAGAACACGGCTCTGTTCATGCGCCATTTTCTTAACAACGGTCCGGCCGCAATGTTCGGGGGACTTTCGTGAGTTATAAAACAGGATCTGACCGCCACATATTCTTGTCCCCTGTACACTCCATTTGGGCAAGAGCATTCTCGTATGGCCACGATCCTAATGTGTATGTCTCCCTCACAGTCACAGAACAAATATGCATTCAACTCGGGAGCAGCTTACCTCTTGCCACCTGTTGTTGGACTCCGCTGTCGCCCACCTTGTCCCGAACTTCCCTTCCTCCTGACACGGAGTCCACGCGTATAGACTCTCACCCACATTCCATCTGATCTGTTTCCCGCTGCCACTTTTTGTTCCACATCCCAGTCCGTTTAACACTTGCGGATCTCATACCTCCACTCTCATATATTTCAGCATACCACCACTTCCCTTGACTCCTATACTCATAAAAACACACTTGACTTCAGATCTGCTTGCGCTTAACTGAACTTGTTTGTTCCACGGCATATGTGATAATTTGTGTATTACTAAGCTCATGTAGAGATCGTGAATACTGTGATGGTGACAATGATAACAACGAATTATCAAATAAAACTTATCTTACTCAGCGTATTTCTTACGAGTGACCTAATGGAAGTGCGTTTTACAGTAATGCACTGAGTACGGAAGATATTTCGCACTAATCCGGTTGATTTGAGTCACTGGTCTGATCCTGGGTCCTAGGGCCTCCGAAAATCTTAGTACGAACGTGAAATTCTCCTACATGACTAGGAATTTCAAATGACGTCTTCTGACGAAGTCCTACTCTCTGTCCTTATAGTTAGATGCTCATCCACCCAAATGACAAGCCGAAATCCGGACCCATAACCGGGTTGGTGAAACGTCGGTAAACCAACTGGCGAAGTTAGTGAAATCCCCGATTCTAAACCAACCAAGAACAGGCGTCCAAACCACACCCGCCTTGATTGTGGCAGTGGTCATCGTAATTAAGCATCACAGTGTAATATGAACTCCGTTCAATTGGCATATGATCCAATGAACTAGATACCGACCCTCAATCGATTTTGGTTTTCATACATGACATCGCTACCTTACGTGTTTAGTGTCTAGACTAATGATGTCCACGAAGAAGTACGTCGAGCAACATACGAGGGAAAGAACCAAATTGAGAACGATTGATGTCACGACAAATCAACGACAGTTGTATTGGAATGATCTGTAGAGCAAAGAGAGAAGCATATAGGTGAGGCAGCGCGTATAAAATGAAAGTCAACATGCCGCGGCCAACCAGGAGGTCATGATCCGATGAAAAACAAGGTCTGAATATGTGAAAGGTACATGTGTGGAGAGGTTTGATGCTGTCAATACACGTGTCAAACGCTCGTTATGCAAAGGCTTTGGTTTTGAACCCTGAAAATAAATTCGTCGTCTTGGGTAAGCTGGTGGCATTCAGCCCACGAGAGAGTCATTTCATTTCATTATTGTACAGATTANCAGATTATTGTCCGTGACTTGTTTGGCATACAGTCTGAACTCAGACAAGGGTGAAATATGATATACCATAATAAGGCCCCGTGTTTCAACAACACAACCGCCGTCATCATCGGACAACGAGAAACAGACACCACCGCTACCCAACTCAGGTAACGGGAACCTCACTGTCCTCCACATGAATGTCACACTTAAGCATCTTCGATGTCCAGCTTGATAAGTCAAGTCAAGTCAAGTATTTGCTTTATGCACCCCGAAAGGTGGATATTCAGCAGTCACATAGTCATCTAACAATTATCGAACAAAATTATAGCATAATTATCGTGAGCAGTGAAAATGAATACAATTTAAGAGATAACTGAGTATAGGTCCGAAGCAATGCTTTCTGCGCTGACAAGAAATCGGGCAAGATAGGGCACCACAGAAGACCGATAAGCGGTCGTACGAGCAAATATACACTTATAACGGGACCGGGTGGAAGAGGAGGAAACACACTTGATAAGATCTTGATGTAATGGATGTGAAGGGTTATCCAAGATTTTTGTTGATAACGAAAGACATGACTTTTTATGTTGGGAAATGATGAAGTGACAGATAGTTTCACGGGAAATCCCACT